TAAACTACAATAAACAGTAGCTAAAGCAGATAGTTAAAGGAGATCCTTTGTAAATGATGTCCTACACTGCGTAGAACGTGAACGTAATCTTGATTGATTGATTCTAGTTTAATTTTCTGTAGAGGTTTTGTTTTGCTCAAAAATACAGCTTCAATGATAAAGAATGACTGTAACAGTTTATCATATTCAATTTATCTCGTTTTTTAAAAAAATATTTTGACGTTGTGACATCACCGTGAGATCGTGTCAAGAAAGTCTGATATCTTTGATGATAACTTAATAGAATTTAGTCAAAATTGGCATGTTTAATGGGTGCACCTGCAAGTGAACAGTTCGGATTATTTATGTTTTGTCATAACAAATAATTAGTCCCCACTCTTTAATTACTTGTTTAGCTTCTCTTCTTTTTTACAAATTCCTCCTGTAGACTTTAGTTTAGTCGTTTCAATGGTTTACAATTATCACAACACCTATGAATACTACCGTAATAAGCGGGAATTGCAGAAATTGGTTTTTATTTCGCTGGAAATGGTGGAAATGAACACCGCGGGAAAACATCTGCTCATGCCAAATTGTAAACTTTTAACTGAAAACATTGCAGCTATTTAATTATTTAAGATAATTGATACAAACAAAAAATACATTAGACGGGTAGTTTAGATATTTAATAAAAAGTTTTCTAACATTAAAAATCTAAAAAGAAACAGAATTTAAATTAAAAATTACCGTTTAAATTAAGACCAGGAGGCGTGTGAACATTTCTTGAAGAATTGTCGAATACCAAACTTATGAACCTACGAAAAATATCTTTGTATGGTTCAGTTAAAGAACGTTTTATACAATAAATTTATCGACAGTCACTTTGGTTTATTTTCTTGCATAAACTACTTCGTGCATATGTAGACTATATAATTATTTCTAGTTTTTAGGTTGGCATGTTCATTATTCCGCTTGCATTTTCATAGGAAAGGCAAAACATCGAAGTCGCTCCTTGTCGCTTCCATTTTGAGTTTTTGACAACCACTTTGAGTTTTTGACAGTTTTTATTTTGCTCATGTACATATCTTTTTCCTATTTGTAGCATCCCTGTTTGTTAGTTTCGTAACAGGAGAGTCCAGCAAAATGTCTAGTGTATAGTGTAAACATATACATGTTCCAACTCATGTACTTTTATTGTATTTACCTAGTTTTAATTCTATTAGTTTACATATGCAGAGAAAGCATTAAACAAATATGAGAAATTATAAGACTTCAAAAGCTTACAGACAGACATATTAAATATACATTCAGTAACAACACGCAAATTGCTATAAATAGCAATGTTACAGTCTAGTAAGTAGGCCTATCACTAAAATATCTTGAAAATCCTTCTATTAAACGTTTCTTTATAAAGTATACAAAGCATATACATTGATATCAAAACACAAAATTCAAAGTTTTGAACAATTTGAGCTTCGTGACTTTGTATAGACGTATAGGCCTAATGATTTAATTGTGTTACATTCCACTGGAAGTCACCAAAATGAGCTTTTTTAAAAGTCTCGTGTGAGGCTCCAAGGCAATAACCCAAGCTAGTTTTTATATATAACATGTACTCATGCTATACCATTCTGTGAATGAAATATAAACAAATTCACGATTATCGCACATAGTAAATTTCCCCTTCAAATCTAGTGACAAAATGCAATTCTAAAATTTGACTAAAAATAGTCATTCAACAACCTCTGTCAGGCCAGTTAAAGCCTCCTGGACCATTCTATATTGATAACAGTATTCTTTAATACTTGAATTATAGTCATTAAACTATCAGAACTATCTACGTGCAGTTTTGAATCCGTCGCGAAGTGATAAAATTGACCATGGCAACAACTTTGTCTGCAGCTAATTATAGCCTTCCGGAGACAAATTCTTGATTTCTGATATTTGTACGTTTATCGACCAAATATTGAATATCTAACCCAAATACCATTTATAACTAGGTATTACCTAAATTTGAGCAAAATATGAAAGAAATCCATTTTTCATCTATTGCCACTGTTTGCTCGATTTTTACGGACAGTCGCTCTTAATATCTCCGTAATTTTTAAGTGAAATACAACTGTAATATATCAAAATCTAAGTTAGTCCTTCCTCTATTTGATGCAAGTTATTTCTCTTTAAAGGCTTTACTTGTTTAGAAGTTATTACGAATCAAACCGGAGTACTTTTTTTTGGGACACCCGGTATATATGTATGTGTATATGTATATGGCGTAGATTTAAACATCTTACATGTTAGTCTTAGCTCATTGTTTCCTGAAATATGAACATTCGAAATTATGCGGGTATTTAATAGGTCTTTACAAACTTAAAGGTACATGCATGAAAGACCATGCAAGGCAGGCGCTTAAATTTTTCTTAAATAGCCTAATATATACACTTGTAAATAAGTATAATTGCTCTGAAGATGTTGTGAACACGACAACGAAACGTTAGCCAATAAATTTTATATATTTTGTTAAGTTTAGTGAGAAACTGACATATTGTGTCCAATCCCTGCAGTCACTCAAGAAGCTGGACAAAGTGAAGGGTCTTACTATGGTTACCATTGAAAAGTTGCCAGGTATACGGGGTGACATTGTAAGATCTGACAGTGATTGAGAGACATGGAATTTGATCAGCTAACAAAAGCAGTATATTTTTGGATACGGAGAAACCCAGTCGATCATAGTCAAGATGACGATCAAACGAAGTAGTGTCGAGAATGAGAGAGAATGTACTTCACCAATCAAACTGACAAACCTTGAGGATGCATCTACTGCGACAGTAGTGAGCACAAAACTGTTGAATGCACTAAAGTTACTGCTGTAGCTGACCGGAAACAGATTCTGGCGAAGAAACAACTGAGTTTCAACTGTGTGTGGTTGGGACTCATTGCGCTGCATAATGCCAAAGCAAAACATCATGCTAAACTTGTCATAAGAGACGTCATACCTCAATATAGTACATAGTGCTGTGCGCCAGAGTGTCGGAGTTCTGCTGGAGCTCCGGCGGTTTTTTACCTGCCGGAGCTGGAGCTGCTGTACTTTCTTCCCAGCTCCAGCTGGAAAATCAGAATTACTTATATTTATACATCTGTGATGTTTTTGCAGGAAAATATGTAATACAATAGGACATAGTCTAGACATAGTCTGTTGTAATATGATTATGGTGTATGTTAGTTCTTGGATAATGAAAGAATCGATAACTTTGACACTTTACAATAGCATGTTGTAAATTACTACAATAGATAATTAAGCTATTCCTGCTGTGACAATTATAAATATTTTCGCTCTTGTCACACATACCTCTTGAAGCCTTCAAAATAGCTAAATTGTAAAATATTCATGCTTGATAACGCGATCTGAAACCATGTTGTAAGTCCCCATTTAGCAAACACAACAGTGAATTTTCAGATGAACCATTACACATTGGGCATTTATAGGCGGGTTGTGGTAAAAATGCGAGACAGCCGAGACTCTTGTTGAAAAGTTACTTCAAAATCCAATAAAAATAAATTACTTTATTTTAAACGAACAATAATATCACCATCGCGCATTTATACGCGGGTTGTGATAAAAATGCGAAACAGCAGAGATGCTTGTTGAAAAGTTACTTTAAAATCCAATAGAAATAAATTACTTTATTTTAAACGCACAGTAATATCACCATCGCGCATCAGGCATTTATAGGTGGGTTGTGAAAAATGCGAGACAGCTGAGACGAGACTCTTGTTGAAAAGTTACTTTAAAATCCAATAGAAATAAATTACTTTATTTTAAACGCACAATAATAGTCAGACTCAGGCCATAGTCGCACCTAACCTATAGTATAATAAAATGTCATGAAGCTATACGTCGGGCATGTTGTTTACTTGTTTAGCCCACTTCTCTACTACATTATCCAAATCGATTTCGTCTGCATTGTCCAGATCTTTTTTGCAATTCAATAGCATAACCTAGCATAGCTTATTGAATTGTGCAAGGCTGATTTAACAGTTTTTAGTTCACTGGATATTTCTTTCGTTTGTGCAACAAGTTATTAAGTTAAAGTGGCATGGCGGAAAAGCAATTAAGATTAGTGACAAGATTAAAAATATAAGACGTATGAAGTCCTTGCGTGAAATCAACATATTTCGCGCCTGTTTTTGACGTGAGCGGTGCTACTCAATATTTTAGCACACAAACAAACTGTATTTATTTCCAAATAACATTGAATAAAGCCTTAATTTTCCGAATATTAAAAACATTTCCTCGATAAACAATGTTCACTATTTAATATTACTTTTGTTGTAATTCTTGAATTTGACAGACACTGATTTGGTATTTGCATGCAACCTTGGCAATGTGCCATTTATCTAGTATTGCTGCCATTTAAACTCACACACAGAAATGCCATGCCTACTGCCTATGCTATAAAAGTCTAAGATAATACGAGTGGTCAAACACTGAGTGGTCAAACATTAAAACAGTCTCATTAGTTGTCAGTTCAAATTGTTTGCTGTTACAAGATATATTTAATATGACAACTGCTGAGAAACGAAAACCCTCTGAAAAGCCTAGCGTGTGGGATCATTTTATTTAAAACCCACTTGATGGTTCAAAACCCACTTGCAGAAAATGTCGGCAAGTTGTCAGTCGTGGACGCTCCACCTCAAAAGCAAAGTTATGGGGAAATGGGCCATTATGGACTCATTTGAAACGCTGTAGGCCATCTTCTACCACTCAGCTGAGCCTCCAGCAAACGTTCACACGTAGTACACCTTTGCAAAAAGATGGCGCAAAGGCACAGGCAATCACAAACACTATTGGAATGATGCTACTCCATCGTAGAGAATGAGGGCTTTAGAGAGCTTTTGAAAATTCTAGAGCCTCGATACTCTATAATATCAAGAAAGGAACTGACAAATGTTATTCCTGAACGTTTTTGATTTAAAAGAAAAAAATTTTAAATCGTTGGAGTTGTCGGAACTTTACAACGGACATGTGGAAGTGCGAAGGCCAGAATCGAGAATACATCGCTCACTGCGCTGTTGAAAATGGCAAGCAAAAGTGCTTCGAGATAAAGAATGCTCTTTTAGAGGTAGAGGAGTTTACGGACAGCGCGCACGCATACAACATCAGAAAATCGGTAATAATATAATAATTTGAAGTACCATATGTTTTAATTATCTTTCGAATTCTAAATTTAGTTGCGATTGATGTGTGAAAAGTGGATAAGTGGGGAGGTACCTAAATTTCATGTTGGTGTGTCTGACAATGCTTCCAATGTGACACTTGCTCTTAAAAGTGAGACGGTCCTTGAGGCGCCAGAAGAGCTTTGTGCCTGGGCAATGGTTGAACCCAAAGAGTCGGACGATGATGATGAAGATCTTTTCCCACCATTAGCAGCCATACATGAAAGATCGGTGGGATGTTTTGCACACTTGCTCAACCTTCTAGTTGAAGTAAATACTAAATTTCCTTCTGTACTGCACTTGCACAAGTTATCATTGTTAACCCATTAAGTGGCATTGCACCCTGATGCACCCTACTTTAGTATTTTACTCTGTCTAACGCCAGACAATTTTACTCGTCAAGGGGAGAACGCTGGTGCTTAAAGGGTTAACTGGCCTATCTGCTCATGTGTTTAGTTAACCCATTGAGTGGCAGTGCACCTTGATGCACCCTACTTTAGTATTTTACTCTGTCTAACGCCAGACGATTTTACTCGTCAAGGGGAGAGCGCTGGTGCTTAATGGGTTAAACGAATTGTTAAACAATGCTTTGTCTGCCGTAAGGCCCATATTATGTTTTACCTACGAGGTTTACCTTTCATATAAGCAATAAGCCAAACAGCAATAAGCTGTCACTGCAAACAAATTGTTACAAAAACAAAGTAAGTATGAATTATGAAAACAAAATCATGTTTCTCATTGACGTTGTTCCAACGGTTGTTACAGTTCACATTTCCTTGTGGCATTGTCAATTCTGACATTTTATTTCTTCAACATATAGACAATCAATGCCAGTTGCTCGAGCGTTCAAGGAGGCTCAAGATGCAATGCCTTGTGAGAAGGGTAAGACGCCTGGTGCCCTTGTTAAAAATGTATCAACCCGCTGAACACATCATTGGCCATGTTCAGGTAAATCGTGACTTATTTGCAGCATTCGTGGATTTGATAAACTTATTTATTAGCATCCGAATAGCTGTGACCTAATTGAGCTTGCTATAGCTTTGTAACATAACAATGTACCTTTTGTTGTTGCAGATCTTTTGTAAAAAACAAAGCAGCTCTTGCGATATTTCTGCGCCGATTTCGTGAGTTGAGTCTTCCTCTGTTACCAGCGTCTTTGGGAACTCAAAGCAACTTGTGGAACATTTTGGAAGGACTTGTCAAAGTTCTCACCCCCTTTGAAGATGCAACCCTTCAAGTTAGCAAGGATGAGGCAACATTGTCAGAGTGTATCCCTTATGCTCACACATTGGTAAGTAATATAATTAAAACAAAGACTGACTGGCACTAGTACATTCGGGGCTTCTGGTTGACTGGTTGTTCAGTTTGGTCATTATATTACTTCTTTCTTCAATTTTTATTTTCCCATACTTTCTAGCTTAGATCCCTTGAAAATCTTCATCACCCAACTGACGATGAACCACCTGTTACTGGACTGGAATCGTTTATAACTGTTCTGAAAGAGAGGATCAAACCCTGACCTTACAAATTTCTACCTTCCTAAATCCAAGGTATACACAAGTCGTATAATATGATACTCGTATTTTGCTTTTAGAAATTTTTAAACGATGTCCCCAATATCTAATGATTAAAAATAGCATCTAGTTGTTATTCCCCATCATGGCAATAATAACAATATGACATTACATATTCTCAGCAAATAAACTTGCTGAACGTGCCATTAGCCCATTACCTAAAAGCATGATGAGTGACTTGAGTTTGTTTTATACATTTTTCTGCTACAGATTCAAACTACTTCTTATTGATGAGGTTGAGCAAGATGCCGTCCGGGAGGCTGTGTTAAGGAGTTTGTTCAATAGCAACGCGAGAGCGTCAGGTGTTGAAGGTGCTGCGACTGAAGGTGAACCTCCAGAGGTTCATACGTCACACAAAGGGTCACTGCTGACAACACTGACGAATATTGTGAGTGAACGCATGGCCATGGGGAGTGGAGGTGTAGCTACTGAATGGCAACCATTCCTGAGTGCAGAGCAAAAACTTACTGCCTACCTGTCAGAGCCAGACGGCAAAATCAATGCTCAGGATTTACTGGTATTCCCACAAAAAATGGCAAATGGCCTGCTTTGACACACTTGGCTCTATCTTATCTCTCATGTCCACCGTCCTCTGTAACCTCTGAGCATGTCTTTTCATTGACGGGAACATCATGACAAAGAAACGTTGCATGCTTCTTCCAGGCAACATTGGTCACTTAGCATTTATTAAGTTTAATCACAAAAGGTTTTAAAAACCGTTGACTTTGTAAATTTGTACTTTGAATTTTCTTATTTGTAATAAAGTACCATATTCTGTTTCTGTCACTGCATTTCTTATTTTCTTCCACTTAATTTACAAGGGAAAACCTCTCTCTTCTGCAGAGGCTTTACGTACCGTAGCACGTTTATGACGACATTTTACATGATGCATTAGGGGAATATCAAACTGCGTTCCTTTGCCCCACGGTTCATATTCCCTTAACGCATGATGTAAAATGTCATGATAATCATACTACCCTACGTAAAGTCTCTGTGGAGGAGAGAGGGAAAACCTGGTAACAAAATTGAGCGGAATAATATCCGTCATTATCCAGTTACTAGGCAACCGGAAATAGATATAAGCAGCCGGAGTCAAGAGCAGAGTTTACATATGTAAAGCAGCCGGAGCTGGAGCAGGAGTTCAAAACTGTAAAACAGCCGGAGCTGAAAAACCAGAGTTTGCACAGCACTAATAGGCTCAAACAATTAACATACCATTATCTAGGAGATTAGTTAGGCAATAAGTAATTACTTAATATATTCATATTTTGAATATAAAAACGGTTGAAAGTATCCGGCGAGGGCATATCTATAGTCAACATCAAACAGTCTAAACGAAATGATTTTAATTCTAAGAGATCAATTAACACCAAGTGGAGTGGGGGAAGGAGTTTTCCCAGTGGTGTTGCTTAAAGTGGACAGAATTATAACGAAAGCACTGATGATACAGGAGCCAGCAGCTCTAATATCTCGGCTAAAGTTGGAGATTTGCTGAACAAGAAATCCTCGGAAGCTTCAACCAAACATATGGAGATTTTAATGGGCTCTCACCTTACAAGAATGGAAATGTATGTTATTATTGACACTACAGCGAAACTGACCGCTGCCTCAGAACAAGAATTAAAGAACACTCCTCCGACTAAAACTCAGAAGTCCACAAACATATTACGTCATGTGAACATGTTCAATACTTCCAGACCCTACTTAACCTACCCAACACACTACTTGATCAGTTTGATACACATACCACAGAAGCCATCATATACCAAAACTGTACTATTATAGATAAATCTAGACATTGGTCATTATTGTTATATAAGGAGTCTTTACATATACATCGTCAAAAACCGGAACTTAATCACGGAACGAAAGCCTCTAAGGAACTTGTGATCTTTAATTAGCGTGTAATTTGATCCGCTTAAACTTGTAAATATATATCTTGGTATTTTTCAATAGCGTCATTCCTGATGATGACTGAAACCTAGTCGAAACGTTGAATTAACGGCAGAGTATTAGTGTTTGGAGGTAGGTGCCGTTTGTGGTCCAAGGCCGCAACTAGCCTTGATGGCAAGAAGTATTGCCATAGCAGCTGCGCAGCAACAATGAGAGCAACAATCAGTAATATTAGCAGCAAAAAGAGAGCCATGACAATTCTGCCAAGGCATACCTCCACAATGGTCAGTACCTTCAAGTTCATAGCTCCAGTATGAATAAGGTCACATTCATAGCTCCAGTATGAATTCAACAACCTTCGTAGCTTCGGTATGACTTAATTAAACAACATTCATAGCTCCAGTATGACTTAAGCAACATTCATAGCTCCAGTATGAATTAAACAACATTCATAGCTCCAGTATGAATTAAGCAACATTCATAGCTCCAGTACGAATTCAACAATATTCATAGCTCCAGTATGAATTCAACAACATTCATAGCTCCAGTATGAATAAAACGACCATGTAGTTCCAATATGAACTTGAAGAGGAAGTGCCATGGCAAATTGTCATGTGCACTTATCTCCAAGAACTGACCACAAACTATGGCACCCACTACATGCGCTCCGAGATGTTAAATTATATCTGTACTAAAATTACCAGAAATACACGCAACTGACTGCAACGGGAATAAAATATATATTATTTTTTAACATAAACTCTTTGTTAAATTGGATAACAAGCTATGTGGTGTCCAAATGTATGTCAAGTATGCGGCGCTGGACCACCGTCCTAATGTTTGGATCAGGTGATTGGGAACACCTGCCAAAGCGGCGGACGTGGCAGCACCAATGCGAAAACTGTGACTGCTAAAATTGCCAGGAATTCCCGCGTCGCTTAGCAACCGAGGTAACCGTTCCGATAAATAGGTCCTAGTCAAAGGAACACCATTTGACCTAATGAACAATGGACCAGCCGAGCCGCCCCGTAGTTCCAGGAAATTCAGCATCGCTTCCACCGGGCACAAAGGGGAGCGGCCTTGTCCCAACGTGAGGATACAACCTTGACGGAAAGGATCAGTTTTGGACACTTTAATGTTCACTTGGATCCTAGAAGGAGCCACCCGTTGGTCAGCAGCGATGTCGTGGACGGAGAGATGTAAGGCTTGCGAGAACGTGGCACCATTCGGGACAGTAAATTCGCATGAACGTAAGAACCCGAAATAGGCTAGACAGCAGGCCGCCCAAAACATAACGTCATCATACTGTGAGAGATCGAGATGACTGTAGATAGCATGGAGGATTGCCGGGGTGACTGGGAGTCTCTTGTCAGAGGAAAAACCTTGGCAGCATTTAATGCCCTTTAAAACTCGTTGTAGATGTAAGCAACCACTCAACGGATCTGGAAAACCCTGTTTATGTGAAGAGCTCAAACGGCAGACAAACACACTTTAATCGACGCTGCTTTTAAATCGTCGGCCAGCCATGTCGCAAACAGGCACAGGGTCCATTCTTCAGCAGGCAAAGGAGAACCATGCGAGTTCATTAGATTAGCTCCTTCACAAAAACGTAAGAAGGTGCGTTGGGCTGACGAATAGGTCCTTTGGGTTGACGACGCTAAACCCTGTTGTAGGTAACGTTGGCACTGGGCCTCTAATTGGTGGGAGCCAGCCGCTGCAGGATCTCTTCTGGAATAGGCGTGGGCATTGCTGAGGAGTCCGGAGCTACAATCCTGGCAAAAATTATATCGTGGACAGCGCCTGCGTCAAACAAATATATTTCTACATAATTAATCCGCCAGAAAATTTCTCCCCCTCCTACCCCCAACTCAATGTTGGTAAATGAAACTTTTAAAATTTGAGTGCGAGAAACAACATTGAATAGGGGGCAGGGGTGACAAATTTCACGAAACGGAACGTCTCAATGTTAATATTGGCGTAGGAAAGTGAGGTGTCCACATAATTTTTGCCAGGATTGTCTGAAAATGACCTAAAAAAATATCCATAATTTTCACCCAAAACAGGCTTTTTACTATAAATTTTTGATGCTGCCATTGTTTTAGGATAACAAACAGATTGTTTAAACTGGTTTAATTGTTTTTAAAGCATATTTATAATTTTGTGGGTGAGCGGCTTTTGGGCATGATATACGCTTTGCTGAACTAATTATGCAGACGCAGTAAGACGAGTTTTCAACAAAAGTACTTTAAGTGCGGAACCAAATTCTCACTAAATATATTTTTGTGTATACGCATCCGAAGCGCTCACTATTTTCAGATTTTTTATAAC